CAACAGGTGTATCCAACCAAAAGTGTTCATCGAGCTAGTGACCCTAAACAGAGGACAAGTTCAAAATAAGGGTCGTCATTCCTCTTGATCAAGTCATCGGTTGGCTTCACCTCCATCTGGAACCCGGTTACGCAAACAGCGCACGTCGCGCAAGTTTGTGCACCGATATGCGCAACACATGACTTAGCCATGGGAGCCTAGTGCGTGATATATCGGTGCTGAGCAGTTCACTTGCTCTTTCTGGACCAAAGACGCAAAGCCGAACACGCTCATTGCTCACGCGGCGTTCCCACCAAATATGAGTGTTCTAACGTCGTGGTCGTAACGACGATGGAATGACTCACGGATTGTAAACACATAGAAAAGTAGCCTACAGGATACGATTCATACGGTCGCCAAACATGTCATATGTGCGAGCTGAGACCAGCGACTAGAACGAATGATGACCGTACAGGCGTCCAAACGACCCTGAAAGCGAGAGAAAAGCAAGTCCTTCGTAACAGACGCCTTTACTGGTCTAGTAAAGAGCAAATACAGCAGTGTGCAGCTGCACTTATATGCCAAGATCGGTGAGGCATAATGCGAGTGTAAGCGGATCATTTCGGAAGGTGAATGTTTATCAATGCGGAGGCCGTGGAGGAAAAAGTGAGTTCATCGCGCAGGGTGATCAGAACGAGGGGAACCGCGTACACGCGGGGATGGTTGAGTCATGTGCCCCGGCCTGAATACGAGTGTCTGAGGCTTTGGTGATTTGGAATGCGCGATCTTGTGGGGACATGTGTTCCCCATAACAATGCGTTAAAATGCAAAGGCAGTGATGGCCAAAAGCAACTAGCCTATTTATTTCCGTCGATCTGATAGGCCAGGTTTCGCAGCCGTACAGGAGCGCTGAACGTATGAGAGTATTGTATACCCTGCTCTTCAGAGTGAGGTTATGTCACGCCGACGCCGGCGACGCGATAAGTGATATCATCTTATTCTACAGGCGCTAACATAGGTGTCCATAGATACTTAAATTGCTGAACAACTTCTAATCGATCACCACCAGGGGTGGATCCCTCTCAATGTTGAAAACAGACGTTGCATTTCAAGGATGAAAAGTGGTCAGTACCAATTTGTCTAGTGCTGCTTAGCACGTTTGAGAGTTGTCACAGACTACTGCAATGTCGACGGTTAACTTCAAGCCAAGAAGTCGATCATCTGGAAGCAGCTCCACACCTTTTATGTCGTACCCAGTGAACGCAGTCTCTATAGCTGTGTCGATTACAATACTGAAGAGGGAAAGTGTCAGCGGGCAATTTTATCTCAAAAAGCTGGAGATACTGAAAGGCGGTGACGGTTAGTCCAAACTACGCGCGTACAGCACTCTCATGGCATTCACGAATTTATCAGACACACCTTTCCTGATCAGTGTCTAAAAGAACACATCGGTTCACCGAATCGAAGGTGATTTTGATATCGAGAAACACGAATTCGGTAGGTTGGCAAAAATATGGCGGGTGCCAACAAATGACCAAATGTGAAAATGTGGTCAATTCAGCTCCGACTTTGACGAAACCCGGTTCGCTTCTTGTAAATCTGGCATTTACGGATGCTAGACAGTCTATGCAGAACGACAACAGCAAGTGATTTAGAGTTAAATATCTGAATGATCACTATGATTGCCGCGTTCCGAAAGTGGATTTCCTTTGAAAATTGGGACTAGGACGATCCGGCACCAGTCGGGTGGTACAATCTCATCCTACCACAACCTCACTAGTAAACTGTGCAAGTCATCCACAAAAACGGTTCCCCAGAATTCAAAGAGTGTTGAATAAAGTCCACCTATTAGGGCGGCCTTATTACATTTCCACAGTTTGAAGTGTAAGGTTGGACTTCTGCGCGTGAGGGTGCATCCAAGGGGCGGCCGAGGGAGAAGGTCAAACAATGCCCGAAAGGATGTTGAAAACGCAAGTTGACTAAACTAGTTTGCAAAATGCTCGGCGCAACGCTCCAAGCGTTTTGACAAGTTGTGTGTTGGTTGTTCACTCTCGTTGCCTATGATCTGGCCAACACAAGGTCCCCTGTTGCTTTTTTCCCTTATCAGACGGAATAACTTACGATGGTCACCAACGGTAGCGGTTGTCTCCATCTCCGATGCAAAATGAGATCACCAAGTTTCGCGGTCTTCCTTTAGGTTAGCACAAAGTTTTGCATTGAGATCTTCGCGAATTTCACTGTGTTCGCTTCCAGACGGAATGTGCCAGCAGCAAGGAATCCAGAGACCGCGTAGAGAACCGATATGCAGGTTTGAAATGTTATTTGATACGAAAACACGTCTGGTGCTAATAACGACTGGCGGATATGTGACCAGCTACCTCAAACTGTGTTCCGTGAGCACATACGCAACCCGCATGCCAGTGCAATTTATTATGCACATAGAATATCTGGCTATGCCAGTTAACCAGAGTACGTCTGGTACGCATGATTCCCTGTATAGATAGACAGGAATGCTACTGCTGTGCATGTTGAAGGAGTGTGGGCCGGCTCCGTTTATGAAACGTGGCTCCCATCTACATGCCTCCCGGTATTATTTCTTCGGGTTTACACTGCATATGGGGTGTGTGGATGGAGCTTTGGCTGGTGCAGCACAAATCACCCATGGTCCTTCTATAAGCGCAGTCATCTTGTTGCTGTCCTATTGAGGCCAGAATGACAGGCAAATCCGGAACCGGATGTTGCCAACCATGCGCTCACAGCATCGTCGCAAGCGTCTACCGAAGGAAATCTGGAAATGGGCACATACAGGTGCTTGGTCGGAGTCCCGTTCGTGCTTCCAGTCGCGTGGCAGTTCTAGACACAGCCACTCTAACATCACCATTCATTATACATGTTAACCAGATGTGGATAAATTCAAGTATCTAGGCAGCTATATCAGCGCCAGTGGAATGGAAGATGAGATCACAAACCGCAAAGCAAAAGCTCGAGATGCTTTTGCCAATCTCCGCCACCTGTGGCGCCGGCGCGAAATCCCCCTCACCCTGAAGGGCAGAGTTTACAATGCAGCCGCGAGTACAACCCTCGTATACGGTTTTGAAACCTGGCACATCAAGCCGGTAGACATAAACAGGCTAGCTACGTTCGATCATCGCTGCCTTCGCAGCTTGGTTCATAAATGGTGGGAACACCGCCTGAGGAATAAAGGTGTTCGACGTCGCGTATTTGGTGCAGGAAGAGCTAGTGAACCGCTCAGCACCATTAGATCACGCACCAGGCTCCGATGGCTGGACCAAGTGTTGTGCATGTCAACACATGGACACCCGCGATGTGCATTGTTTGCGCGCCGGGGTCGTGGATGGAAGAAGAGGAATGGATACCAAGCGATGACGGTCGAGAGGAATGAAGTCCCTCACTTCGAAGTTATCGTCGGTGGGTGTGTCCCGACTGCTTGGCTGGGGTCCGAAGGACGATGAACTCGTCTGGTTAAATACACTAGTTGACATCGCAAGGAGCCGACTTCAGTGGCTCGTTCGCTTGATGATAGATATCATCTTTCACCGAGTCCGCGGCAAAGTTTGTGGGGGCCTATACAATAATGAAAAACTGGCACTTAATGGCCTCGGGCGAATTCGAAGTTTTGAATGTACTAGCCAGCCTGTTGAAGCAAATTCGGCTACTGACTGGGATCCAGTCTACTGGAGCACTTCATCCCAGGAGGTCAAATCCATACACACACTGGCTTGATCGAAAATGGAAGCTGTATCATCTCGAGATAATAAAAGTGTCGCCAGTGTCACATGAAGGCGACTGTAGAGTGAGAACAGAGATCGCGTATTGCAGACGGGTTTCGATAAGCAGTAGTTATCGATCGATAGGGTCTCTACTACCTGCTGACAGATATAGATTAATAATAATTAATTAATAGGTAATTAATTAATAATTGATAATAATAAATAATAAATGTAGAAAGGGTAAGATTGATGCTCCGAAACTGCGTGTGAGTTGAAACTAGAAGACAAACGACTGTAGAATCAAGATGGAGGAGGTCCAAGGATTGGGGTTGAAAACAGGGGACAAAGTGAAGTTGGAACGGGACAATAAGGATAAAAAGGGTAAAAGAGGGTAAGAAAATGGGGAAGACTGAGAAACAATATCGTGACCCCCTATCCACCACACTAGATGTAGCAGATGTGGCGTTTTTGATAATACTTTGTGTTGCCCAGAGCATCAAGAAATTGTGAAGGGTTTTCACCCTATTGCATGGGCAGGATACCGTCAGTTTGCCCAAGCTTAGAGAGGAGAGCGATTAGGGTTCTCAAACCAAGCTTTTGGTTTAAAGTGATGAGCGCAAAGCAGCGGGAGTTTTAAGGAATAAGGAACCACCCTCACTCCAACCTCCAACCAGGGACTGAGTTTGTTCGGCTTCTAACACCATTGATCAATCTGATTTGAGTGACTCTGAAGGTGCAAAATACACCACCCAGAGGCACACAAACAATCGCACCACGTTAAGGTCAAGTCTCATCGCGATGTATACATTCAACTGCTCACTCCCATACATCGCACCGGCGAATTGGCACAAACAGTGTGTGAAGTGAACCCCATCGCACATGTCATCGGTAGCGCCACACTGCGCAGGAGTCCAAGAAGGATGGTTGTAGAAAACCGGAGTCAGGGTCATGGATGTTATCGGGGACTCGGCAGATAGGATGATGAGACTTAGGAAAACGGTACAACCAAAAGGACTGCTGAGCGTCAAGTGGCAAAACAGGGCAACTGTGACGCAGATGACTGCGGGACAATCAGCCCCTAAAGTTGCAAAGTAACAATTCCTGGCCATAGGGTATCCAGCCAGCAGGACACTTGACGGATGGGGGCCACTCAATAACGCGGAAAAGCATGCGGCTGAAAAGCATTTGTTGAATCTATGACAGCGCGCTGCGGATTTAACTGTTGACTGCACAGTGTGTTTATTACAAAATTAAACAGATGAGTGTTTTACTTAATGAGAAGTAACTCACCCGGTGCCAAGAGAATGTCCCCAGAAGAAAACCGGGCTTGATCCACATCGTTCGTACACATACTTTAGCACGGCAAGCGAGTCGTGCACACAGTCGCGCTCGCCGGTCATCTTGCCTGATGAATCGCCGTAACCTGCGATGATGACAAGAGACACACAGGGTTAGGAACTGCAGGTATGCAAAGAGAGCACAGCAGTGATCAAATGAGACAACGACAAAGGAGGTAACAGTTAAATAATATGCAGACATGTAGAAGTGGTGAGGAATAGAATGTGAAACAGACGGTACGTTGATGATTTAAACAGCATGTGAAGTTCGTTACAAAAATACGTAGTAGGTGAACTGCTGGGCAAGATGCAGGATAAATTAAGTGTTGCGAACCGATTGTGTATACGTGGGTGTAAGAGTACATTCGGTACAGTGTGAGAGAAGAAAGCGGAGTGAGGAAGATTGGGTTGGGCACTTGAAAGCCACTGGAGACTGCCCAGGCGACAAACCTTGATGAGGAGCACGGACATGTAGTCGAAAAGTGGATAGACCAAGCGCAGACCGATTCCCAACAGGTTGTTAAAGGAAACAAAAGTACAAAAATTAGGCAGACACATTATACGGATTTGGCCAATGTTCAGTGGAGCAGATGGTGGAGATTAGAATAGGTAGGCTATGGGATCAGGTGTGATGGATGAGTGAGTCGCTTCAAAGAAAAAACCACAAATGGGGCCGGAAAGACGCGTCCATTCAAGGGCAATCGCCAGCATATACCAGAGGACTGTGCGTGTGCAAGCACAAATGACAATCGAACCATTGCGGTACCTTGTAGAGGTGTACCTGAGTGTCAACGCTTGAACAGACGAGTGAGGTGGTGTTCACTTGTCACAAGGCAAGGAACAAGCAAAAGCTAGAAATATTGGTTTGCGAATGGATCTCCCTCATAATGTGTTACCCAGCAAAAAACAAAGTTGGTTGAAAGAAGTGAGACAGCAAAAAAGGTGAAACTGGTCACAAAGCTACATTGTGAGTCAGAAGGCTGCTTCTGCAACATGTTGCAAGCAGCAGCAGCAGCAGCGGCGTGATTTAAGTTCCCCGTTCTAATTCAGTTGCTGAGAAGCCACACTCAGTACAGTCCAATGGGCTGACACATAAAGCATTGAGTGCAGTCCCTTAACGACAGCAGATCAGCAAAAAAGAATCAGTGAAACATCACCTCGGTAATCGAAGGCAATAACGTTGTAGCCGAGAGAAGAGAGCAGTTTGTATATGTCGATGCGCCAAGGCACTGCTCGCGTCTTCGTGTTCCCATGGAAGTAAATGAAAATAGGACTGCCGTTCATTAAGGCCTTCTCGAATGTGGCACAAGAGGGAGGCGCCGTATTTGAATCGACTTGGTTTTCGTAGGGTAAGATATGCCTATATGGAAACAACCGTGAGATATTTGGAGTTAACACATTTTCCCTAATCGTCGTGAGAATGCAGGTGAAAAATCTGTAACGTACCAGTTGAATGTCGATACAAAGAAGCTGCGCTACAGGCTTCGGAGAACACCTCAGCTCACCTCCACAATGAATGACTAGATGTAATTGATCATCAGACAGGTGAGACTACTGATGAGTAACATTTCGCTTGGTTTCTCACAAAAGGCACACTAAATCATTTGTTTACCCTGCTTGAGATAGTCGCATAAGCAAGTAATGGACACAAAAACTTGGAATGCGACAGAGATAAGTGATATCCCTCGATTGTTGGTGCATTTGCAATGGAACCTTTTCTTGTAAATCGGTAGGACGACGGATTCGCCCAATGAGATGAGAACCTTATCATCGGTCGATACATTCGTGAACAATGAGGGGTTGGTTGAAGATCACGTTCCTTTCATCTGAATAACGCTGGAGGAAGACTGTTATCTCCAAGAAATCCGTTGCATTTCAGAGCAGATTACTCTCCGGATATCCACTTCAGTAGCAGGATCCGTGCAGACAAGTCAGGCATCACACAGTAGCAATGGTGATGACACCGGGGGTAGTGTTAGGTAATTAAACGGGAAAAGTATTCATCTCAACCAACGCCTGTGTGGGTTGGTTATCTTTGTACCGTCAAACTTGCGTACAGTCTCACGGAGGGAACGTGATCTGCGTTCGATGGATTTGATAGATAAAACAAATTGCGGCTGTTCCCCGCGTAGGCAGTAACTTCCATTTTCGTGGCTCGTTCGGACTACCAGGATTCACGGTCTCAATGGCGTTAGACCGTCTAAATGACCGCAAGCTTAAAAGCTGTGGAATCGGTGATCCGGTTTTCGGTTGGACGGGCGACTACACACTCTTCAATGACATCTGACTGTGAGAGTTCGCAGCGCCATCTATGACGTTATCGAAGTTAAGTGTGGAGTGCTCCGGGGCACGGTATTTGATCCACGAATATTCCTGAAATACGTAGACGATCTCGCGAGAGTGATCAGCGCAAATCTCTCACTCTTCGCTGATGATCTCAAGATATGCCGGGCCATCAAAACAGCAGGTGACCACGTAGCACTGCAGAATAATATTAATAGGGTATACGAGTGGGCGACTCAGAATCTACTTTATTTCAACGCCAACAAGTCTGACATTGAGCAGGCGAAGTCAATCCACTTGCGAATACAGCCTGGGGAGCAAGTTTCGCAGCGCGCTTCTATTGAATGCGACTTAGGAATCATAGTATGAGATGATCCTGGCTATTTAGGTCAGATCTAGAAAGCGCCCAAAAAGTCCTATTGCGGTCACTAGGGTGATCTGATCCTTACATTTTCTCGCAGGTGGTCAACGCCTGCACTAGGCCCCATTCAGAATACGAAGAGATATGGTTGGCGGTATCCGGTTCCAGATATGTTTGTCACTGCGGCCTCCATAAGACAGCCATAGGACTCCTGCACCTACAGAAAGACCATGGGTGGCTTGCGCTGCACCACCCAAAGCTCCATCCACAAACCCCATATGCAGTGTAAGCCCGAAGGAAGAAGACCGGGTGGCATGTGGATGGGAGCCAAGTTTCATTAACGGAGCCAGCCCACAATCCTTCACAGGCAAACACAAGTACGCTGTATTTGGGGAAGCAAGCGCACACAAACAATTTCTCGATGCTCCGTCCGTCGCAGAGGATAATCAACGGCGTCCTATCTACTGCATCGAGCAAGGTGGATAGGGGTGAGGATGACACTGCTAAGACCTTCCCACTCCCGCGTTTTCATCCGTATCCTTCCCTCCAACTTCACTCTTAGCCGCTTGTTTTCAAGACCACAATTCTTGGCCTCACCCAGCTTGCTTTAATATGCCTCTGTCCTTTAGATTCCGCTCACACGCAATAGCAGGGCGTAACCCCGCTCCAATCCACATGTCCACTTTCAACCGAGCGGACGTCTGTTCATCCGTTTCTCTTTGGAGCCCTGGAATGTCACAACGTGCGCCCTTGGTTACAGATTGGCCAACAGGCAGCACTTGCCTGGATACCAGAGGTCAAATCGATCGATGTCTGCTGCTTATCGCAAAACGCGCCTGCAAGATTTTAGCTCTGTGCTTACCCTGCGACTCCACACAAGCGACAGTGGCGGCACTTTCTCGTTATGGTTATCCAGAGATGACGAAGCTTTAACTACCGGTCAAGCCGGTGTGCGCATTGTTGTGAGCCCCCGGGTTGAAGTTGCCCTGATCGAGTGGATCCTAGTCAACAGCTGGATGTGAGCCATCATATTGGCTGGCTCGTTCCAGGCTGTGAAGTCCCGCAGAGACAAACAGTGCCTGTATGTTATTGCTGCACACACCCCCAAACTACTATTGACTTGGTCAAAGATGATTTCAATTTAGAAAAAATGTTAGTGAACAAGCCCGTTTTCAGTGGTTCCTCATCAGGTTAATACACCGCAAACGAACGACATGGACGTAAACATCAGATAAGAGGACAGATTCAAAACCCAGATGGTCTGGGTGAATAAGCTAGGTGATTAGCCCCACGGTGTGGGTGTCAGTGTTACAGGAGGCAAATTTTTTGTGCACACATAGGTCAGGGTCTTGAAGCTTTCTGGCGATTGCGTCGGCCGCTGCCAGTAGACGACATCTAACGGCTCTTGTGTGGCATCTGGGTACGCGGTAGATGATCTGGAACGCCTCATGCGCTCTGACCTGGTGGCTCGAGTCCATCAGGTGTGCAGACACTACGCCTGCCACTGACCAATTCACGCTGCTATACAACCAAGCTGGACAATGTTCTCTCGCTCTCTCGGACAGTCTCCCGGTAGTTAACCGCTTTGAGTGCGCGTTAGTCAATAAATACCTGATTGAATATGCCCATGGAGAAGCAAGCATTCAATTCAGAGAAGAAATTTCTTTTTGATAATTCTCATAAGGCGAGTACATACATAAAACTGGTTAAAGCATTGCAATAGGCTATGAAAGCTCGGCTAGGATTGGTCAATTTCACACAGGCTGCAGTGTTCGTCGATCAGACTCTCTAATCGATGGTGATGGTCACACATAGGCACACAAAACAAGACGGTTCATCGGTCCGATTAGAGGACAAAGACAATTGAGTCACTGTCTGTGGATGAAGTGAACGGTGCCCACACTGAGATCACGGCCACGGTAACAGAAGGAAGGAAGCAATAGCGTCCTCTGCTTGCACAGTTCAGGTTGCATGAGTCTGATCGCAATGACCTCGGCAATTATTACTAGGCATTTTCGAAGTCCCTTTGTGTAGCGGTTTGACACAATGTAGAAAAGTTTGAAGGTTTCCATGGTCACAAATTGATGTCCGCTTTGGACTAGATGTTCCGAACTAGAGCTATTGATGCTTCTAACCGTGTGTTTCCCCGATGTTCTGCAATCCGTTTCACCAAGCGTCTGGTCGTGTGTCCTAGGTATCTTACGCCACAAGTTCAAGTTAAAACGAAGCAAGGCGCCCGAGGCATTATCAGACATCAAGTAGCAGTTGAAGTTTGATGCCAGACTTGCTGAAACGGAAAAGGAAACTCGATTCTTGCAGGAATGTTTACAACGCAATCAATATCCTAAAGCGTGCTGGAAATCACTTAGGCGGTGTCACGTTCGGCCGACCAGCAAAACACGGAGGCGTCATCCCCGCAGTCTGTTGGATGCAGTTCATTCACGAGTTCCGGAGCTAGAACGCCTTTATTCACAGTTTAAAATAGTATAGTGTTGCTTGATACAGATCTTGGTGATTCCTTTAAACGGTACACTGAACAAATTTGTGCAAAGGCCGATGACAGAAAATGCCCAAGGTTGTTGAAAGCTTGTAACCGATGTTAGCAGAAACGAATTTTACAGCACAACTGGAAAAATATGTCGACAACATACACAGCTTGCGATTAAACCGGTCGCAATTGGAAGCTTTAGGATTCGTTCAAAAATTTGCCACTCTCAGCCGGTTTATGGGCAAGTTCATCTGGAAACCCAGTTTGAAAATCAAATGCACCAACTGTCCGGATTGACTCCTACTTCTCTCCATACCAGTGACACCTTCAGAATCACTTTGGTGCACCTATGTCAACAATATTTGGACTACGAGACCCAATCTTCCAATATCATGTCTAACAGACATCGTGATGCTGTCAAAAGAACTGAGATCGAATCCTGAATTGACCATTTTCCGATCTATCCATCAGAACCCATCCCGCACCTTTATCTGGTCTAATAAATGGGAATTTTTGGATTGCTGAGGACCAGCATTCCCCGTGATTCAGAAAAGGGTATTTGTCTTAGTCGTGCCGATCTGCTGCCGCATTGACAGTAGTCGTCCGGCAACGTTGAATAAATGTTTCGAATCGCGTGAGTCCCTCCGCGTCTAGATGGCCCAGCATGAAAGTAAACGGACTGATTACGCTCCAAATCATCAAGTCTAGAGGCAAATGTGTCACGTTCGTGTAGTGTATGACGCTTCAGTGCAATATTAGTAGGATTATTCCTATTCCGTCAGAGCATTTTCAAAGATATGCTTCGGATATTCACAACACAAAATACACTCATCAAAGAACTGAGCTGGCGCATTCTCTACCGCAAGTTTTGTACGGAACTTAACGTACTCGTCAAGCCCTTTAAGCACAATGAAATCCCTACCAACTGATAAAGCTCATCCGTTACAAGAAAAGTAAGGACACTGTGGGGCTTTCTAGTGATCTGAAGGCCCAAGTTGGAAAATTTTCCACCAATGAAGTTCGTCTAGGCGGTGTAGGCGTCCGTAATGAAAATGATGAGCGGTTGCTACATCTATTCGTCTATTTCTGGCGAGCACTAACTTCCGACACAGCATACAATACAATGACATGGCAATCTTCAGTCATGGGCACAAATCGGTCATGTAGCGATCAGTCACCGTTGGAGAGGCTGTATCCAAAACTTTCACTCGATTTGGATCACAAACGA